CTCTTATTTCCATCAGCAGTCCCTGGGTCACACACGTCGCAATTAAATAACACAATATTTCAGTCTAGATGAGTATCACTCTTATGTCTGTACGATTAATATGAAGTTACAGCACAAAAAACAGTCTAGTTAGTACATAACCCCTTACATATTATATTTTCCATTTGACCTAGTATCATTTGTACACACATAAAACCAACATACAACTTATTGAGCTTTATTGGTGCTGGTCGACAGAAAAATAAATATTTCCTCTTGTTTCTTTGCAAGAGAGCAAACTCAAAGTTTTTACCAGGAAATGTGACAACTATTCCTTTAACTATTCCAACCCATATTATTTCTTACTATAAAGGAAGATGTCAACTATGCATGTTTTATACAGCATTGTAAAGGCTTCAGAGTAGGAGGATGATCAAACTTACCCAGAAGTGGTTCTGTGACATTCGCCAAACAAAGGCATCCAGCCGGAGTGAACTCTGTCTGACCGAGGTCACCTTCCAGGTAATCTACACTACCAGTGCTGCAAACACACACACACACACACACACACACACACACACACACACACAACACAATTATGTCTTTATTAAGTTTCATTTCGAAGCACTTCGATGTTTAAAAAAATATAAAAATATGAGCAAATGTATTAGAATGGAACTTACTGGTTCAGTAAGGTGTTGATGAGGGTGCGGATGAACGTTGACTTGCCAACATTTTTGGATCCACATACGAGGATGACTGCACAACCATCCAGGTCCCCTGTGAAAGACAGACATGTGTTCAGATCAGTCTATGGTTCAGATATGCTTACATCAGGGGCGTCCAAACTTTTTTCACTGAGGGCCACATACACAGGGTGTATGCAGGAATCCTGAAGTCACATGTAAAACCTTTTAAGACCTTTTTTAAGACCCTTTCCATACATTTTAAGACCTCATCGCCACTTTGAGTTTTAACCGGTTACCTTGGCAACACACTTTACCTCACATTGACTCTATACAGTATGGATTGTCCTTCCTCCTTATCTTCCAACCATTTGGACGCAGACTTGCATTTCCCCATAACAATGTTGTTTAGCAACCGGCGTAAACGGACCGTCGCGAGCTATCAAGCAGTGAGCGTGAGATGTCCTGTTCAGATGACGTCAGATCCAACGGGATGCCATCAATAAACTTCACAGAATCACACGACACACCTACGCAATGATTACATTCAGGCAGACTGTAGAATACAACCTCTTTGGACCATTCACATACTTATTGAAAACAAGCTACAAAATGTAATACCTTGGAAAATGCCGTTTAATACTTTTTAATAGCCTTCATTTTCGCTAAATTGATCTATCAACTTTTAATACTCTTTAAGACCCCGCGGACACCCTGATACAGAACAATATACGAAGGGCTGTGCCGCTCACTAGAGGTATATTGCCATATCAGTTAAGTTATAAGTTAGCAAAATCAATCAAATAAATGATGCTTGACACTTGAAAATGCTTTAAGAAACACAACGGCCTACACCACAGCTTACCGCAGGGTTCCATTTACTTTGTTGGCAGCACATTCTTTAAAACAGAAGCTTCAGATTGATAAGAGGAAAAATGAAGGCTAGATTTCAAGCTTGTTATGTAATTAAGTGACTAAGATTTGTTTGAAAATGTTTTTAACTTCAATTGACTGCATTTATTTGAAAAGTGGGCATATTAAGACATGAATATACTGTGTAATATATTGTTGTGTTACATATATATTTAAGAAGTACCATATATTACAAGCACAAGTTTCATTTGTGGGCCATATTTCATTATACTTTTTGAATTAGCTGAGGGGCGTTTCAAAATGTGCCGCATTTGGCCCCTGGGCCTTAGTTTGGACACCTCTGGCTTCCATGCTTTTACAGTGATCTTGAACATGAATCAAACATGAGACCAAGATAACCTCAGTGTTCAATAACCTTTAGTGGCATATCTAAGAGGAGCTTACCTCTGCAGGCACGGACCACCATGTTGAGAGCCTCTCTGTAGCTCTTTGACATTTTCAGGCCCTCGATGGCTCCCACCAAGGGAATCATCCCCAGACCATTGAGTGGAGTGTCAAGAACAGCGGACATGAGTTCACTCTGCAAACAAACAGGGGAGAAAAGATTCTGTTTAACACGTGCATGAATTTAGAAAAATACCTAAGACATTAACCTATTCATGAATTCTGCTAAGATTCTCATCGTCTCCCAGTTCCAGCTCTATTCCACATTCAGTTTTGATACATTTCTTGTGATCAGGTGAACACTGTCAGTCAGTAAACTCACCACTGGGGGGCTGAACAGTTCACTGAGATCTGTGAAGCTCGACAGGAACCGCGTCAGAGGCGTCTCCATGGGCTCCAGCAGGATGATGGAGGAGTTTGTTGTAACATTTTTTAGCAATTTCTTCCGTGATGCTGCAACATTTAAATTCAAACAGTAAGTACGGATAGAAAACAATATGTTTCTAAAACACAGCTTTGAACGTGTCAGCAACTGAGAAATCCTAATCTGAAATAGGCTAAATTGGTTATAACATGGTTCGAGCTGATTTACCTGATCTCAGGTACTTTTTGAGGATGGGTGAAGCCTCTGTTTTGTCATCTCTGGTCTGATCAGAGTTTTCCAGTGCTCTAATGGTCAGAGGACAATGTGACGCTGGGGAGAAGAGAGGATATGACTGCTGGCCTTCTTCAATGGTGAACCCCATCACCTCCACCCGGCCGTACAGACAGGTCAGGTGGCACTTCCCACGGAAACACAGGGTCTGAGGGAGAGGAAATGTAATGCTTAGTCAAAAAATATATATCTTAGTTGTTAGACCTTTACTTAATTTTCCAAAGCATACCTGATTCTTCTGCATGACGAGCACTGCGTGGTTTCGTCGATCATCTCTCTCTGCACAGTTATGGAGAGACCCTCCCTCCAGTCTAACTGGGATTATATGTTGTATTTCACCTGAGGTCTTAACACCATTCCCATGAATAGACTGGGAGTACTTCTTCCATTCCATGGAGTCATTTGAATCATTGTCCATTTTAAACACTGAGCTTCCATTAGCCTGTGTGGGAGGTTTCTGAACGACAGACTGAGGGGTGTTTGTCTTGGCGTCAGAGACAGGCTTTGCTTTATTCTTTAATCTCTTGACGGAGGGCTTTTTCTTCTGAGACGCTTTGTGCACCACCGCCATTTTGGCCACGACAGGACTGGAGTTGAGCTCAGAGGAAGTGATGGGGGGCCGGCTCCGTTTGCCCCTCACATCCTTCCACTTCTGAGATTTAGCATGGCCCTTCACCTGTGTGGGTTTATGTGCCTTCATGATTCTGTGATCAACAACTACTCTTGTGGGTGCTGATTAAAACAAAAAGGGGGCGGGCTGCAAATAGAGAGAAAGAGACAATTAGCATCTGAAAGGACAGGTGTCACCACTACGTTGACTAGGGTCAAAATGAATAGCTGAAAATTAGCCTTCACTAAGTAACTCAGCAATAACCAATTGTGGAAGATGTTAGTTCTTACACTTAAATAAAGGTAGTACTATTAAAGTGTAGAAATAATGTAAAGTACTGGAAAAAAAGAAAAAATATTTAAATTGTATTTTCGGATCCTGAACGAGACCGCCGCCAGAGCGCGTCTCCCCGTTACCTGCAGAAGGAAGCCATGCGCAGCCCCGCTCTCTTTATCTCCAGGTGACTTTCTGCCGCTTTCCTCCGTGGTGCTGATCGTTTCACCACGGAGGAAAGCACTTCACAAATTGCAGTACCCATAAAGAGCTGTACAAATGCCGCAGTTTTTGCGTGGCTGTGTATTTAGTTGAAAGCCCAGTGGCGATCTGCTCATCGAAATAATATGCTACTAAGGGGCGAACTGGCCACCTGTGTGTTGAACTTTCCTGTCGGCTCCCAGACCGTAGTCGAAGAGGGCAGAAGCAACCAGCTTTAGGTTCAATAACCCACTTTAGCTTAAATGGCACTTCATATCAAAAAGGTTGCCGACCCCTGATCTACATAAATGTAACTAAAAAAGTACTACATAAATGTAGTGGAGTAAAAACACACTATTAACATCTGAATTGTAAAGAAGTAGAAGTACACAGTAACAACAAATGTAAATACTCAAGTAAAGTACAAGTACCTCAAAATTGTGCTTAACTACAGTAGGCTACTTGTGTTAATGTACCTAGTTACTTTACACCACTGTCATTAATTAAAAAGTGGCTAGTAACTTAACCATTTTCCTTTCAAATGTAGTAGAGTATAAAGTAAAAGAAAAATATTTAAAAACCTTAATTCAACACATAGTTTGATTTTGCAGCAGTTCGATAGCAATTGAATGCTAAGCTAACCACAGTAAGACGTACAACGAGGTAGCAACATACGTATTATAATATACTTTAGTATATCAACATGTGGAGCAATATTCAAAAACACACATACAACATACGACAGTATAACTCGCTGTTGTGCAATACATTTTAGAAACATTTAATACATTTCGTCTACCCATCACAGAACTGAAACAACTGACAGTTATGCTAACTGCTATCTGATCTTAATGCATTTAGGAGGAGAAAACTTACCCCCCAATTGTGTAAAGACAACGTACAAATATGAAGTCGACCCGTTGTGATTTTACTAAATAGATACCGTTCTTATTTAGGAAAAGTGAAGCCAATGAAATGGCCAACTGTGCTGCAGCAGTGCTAACAAGCTAACTAACATGTGTGAGCCACAAACAGACGCCGCTTCCAGATGGTCGACTAAAGGCTAGCCCGGAGTTTCATTATTTACATTTAACTACGCAGAACTATTACATTTTATCTGAAATATGAATGAACTCAACAAAAAGAACGAAATGAATGTAGGCACAGATAATAATTATATGTGAGGCCATTACATCGTTACTTATGTGCTTGTAGATGTTTAATCATGGACAACAAGCATTTTTCCCGGAGTTAGGTCGCATAAAAAGCGTCACATCCTCTTCCTTCTGCAGATTTTTAGGGGCCTACAAGAAACGAAAACAAGGTGCATGAAGCGGCTTTGCTACATTTTGTAAACTATCTGCTGGGCAACACGAACCGGCTGCAGCTTCTCAGCAATATAGGAAATAAATCACGATTTTTTCATCCATACTGCAAAGATGATGCAGCTGTCTGGTGCGTACCATGCTAAGGGAGCGTCTTTAAAAATGTGCTCGAAAATAAACGTCGAGCTGCGTAGGTAGCTAGGGGCTTGCAATCATTTTATTTTAGGCAGCCTCTAAAGCAGACATAGGATTATTCCAGGAAAGTATATGTGAGCAGTTTAAATTATATTTTAAAAATGTATATGCTATGTAGCTATCACTGAAATAAATGTAATTCAGTTCGCTTCATTTGTTAAAGTAGATACTTTAACATGATGCATGCAAGTGATTTAAATCTGTCTTAAATATGTAACACTTCAAAATTATGTTCTTTGTTTATGTAATTGTAAGTATTTGCAACATCATGGCTGTTAATTTATCCGAATCAGAATTGTCAACCTAAGGGTGTTTTTTATTTGCATTCTGTGTATTTTGGATTTGCACCTTTGATATGTTTTAGTACTTTTTACATCAACATTGTATAATGATTTCCACCAATATAAATAATGTTATACCTTATTTTATAGTATTAAAGATCTGGAGGATCTACAGTTCAATATAATCAAATCTAGTTTTATCTGACAGTTTAGTCCAAGAACACCCAATGCCATTCAGTTTGTCTCACATAAGGCAAATAAAAGTAGCAAATCCTCACTTTTGGAAACTGCATTTCATGCCTTGTTGGTTTAAAAAAATAAATAAATATTGGTTCAGTTGATTGACTGAATGATAAATCAAGTGATTTTCAAAGATAAAACACATGCATTTACAACACAACCATCATCAAATAGAGATAGGTAGAAATACAGCTTATATTTACAGTCAAGTAGACGAGAAATATATATGTTTACACATAACATGTACAACAACATACAAATTCTATATTAGATTTGAAATTATTTGTAATTTGAAAGAAACTTAATATGCAACTAAGTCAATGTTACCAAATGTCTTTTAATCCAAAACACACATTTATTTGAAATATGTGCCAGCAAACTGAATATCTTTGGGTTTTAAACTGGTAGCAAGATAAAATAAGGGATTTAAAGGCCATTGGTTTGACTCACTATTTTCCCCTTAAACACAGATTAATAAACTAACTAGATGAATAACCCTGTTTAACTGAAATGTATGTTCAATGCTACACATACTACAATGCTAAGTTATTAATAACATGCAGTATGATGTCCCTGTCTCTCAGTCAGCAGTATCCCACAGTAAACAGAGGGATGCCTCCAGCAGAGAGCAGCCATGCCCAGCGCGTCCTCTCCTCCCTGAACCAGCAGAGGGCGGTGGGCAGGTTCTGTGATGCAGTGTTGAATGTGGGAGGGGGGGTGGTCTACCTGGCCCACCGCAGCATCCTGGCCTGCTTCAGTGACCTCTTCCAGCAGTCCAACATGGCCGCTGCACCCTGCATGGAGTTCTGCCTGCAGGAGTGCCCCAAAGACGGCCTGGAGCTGCTGCTGAACTTCCTCTACACCGGGGAGCTGAAGCTGGAGGCTGACAACCTGGAGAAGGTTCAGCATGCAGCCGCCAGCCTGGGCGTTCCTGAGGCTCTCTCTCTGTGTCAGCAGTTCAAGGAGAACCCTGCTGATTCCCAGCCTTTCAAACGTAAAAGAGGCCGACCCAGGAAGTCCACATCCGGAGGTGGGAAGGAACTAAGTACATTTACTCAATCAGAATCAAAGCTTTTATTGTCATATGTACACAGTGTAGTTATGACAATGCACATCTTAAGTCACAGGCTCCTCCCACAGTGCAACACAATAAAACAGATAATAGTGCAAGTACATAAAATAAAATATAATATAATAGAAATTGTGCAGAATAGTCTTTATACAAGTCATTGGAATATTGATGAAACAGAAACAGGTTTATTGCCAAGTAGGTTTACGCATACGAGGATGTTTCCTTGGTGTATATGGTGCATACATGAACACAGTTAAAGAAGATACAAAGTAAGAAAGAAAAAACGACAACAAAGAATGACATTAAAGCCTTACCTTAAATCTTTAAATCTTGCATCTTTAGTATTTACATTTTCAGAATCCGAATCAGTATTCATCTTCTGTTCCCGCAGCAGGGAACTTTAAAGTGTCACAGCAAAAGTGGCATAGCAGGTAGAAAAGGCATGCAATTATAAGCTAACTTATTAAATATACAGTACAATTGCAAAGAAAAACGTCTGTATTTTATGCTTCTTTATGCTTCTACTCTACATTCAAAAGGGAAATCATGTAATTTTACTTCACTACATTTAGGCTATTTAAAAGCTTTAGATACTTTTAACCGATTGTATCTCTAAAAATTAAAATAGTGGAGTAACAACTTAAAGGTGGGGTAGGTAATTCACTTCAGAAACACTTGTTATATTCCATGGAATGTTCTCAACATCCCGATAGCAATGAATAAATTAAATGCTTTGACAATAAATACATACAAAAAATGTCATCTGTGGAAGCCGTGGCGCTGTAAAAAGCACGACCAATCAATCTGAGCCGGCCCGGCTAAAATAACTGGATGGCCTACCTGCCTGTCAGCCTTCCATCTGAGCACAGACTTATCTCGTGCCCTCATTGGTCATGTGCGCATTCGTGTGTGTTGGAGGAGGGGCTCTGTAAGGAAATAGATAGAACAAAGGTAGCCTATCAAAACGGCCGGAACACTTACAAATGTGGGCCGGTAGGATTTAGGTAAAAAAAAAAGAACTTTCTTTCTTTTTTTAAATTAATTTATTTTTAAATTGTATTTAAAACATTTTTTTTATTGGCCCTCCGGCCCACACACAGCACCGGCCCACCAGGGAAACTCCCGGTATTCCCAATGGCCAGTCCGCCCCTGTGTATAAATATATACACACATAAAAGGCAATTTTTCCGCAGAATGATTACTTTCACTTTTTATACTTTAAGTACATTTAGCTGAAGATTATTTTCTTCTTCTTCTTCTTCTTCTTCTACCTCTGTCCACATCAGATACGATCCCCAATGTTCCAGTCAAAGAAGAGAACCTGCTCACAATCACAAAAGTTGAGTCCAGCTTTGATGCTACCACAGCTGATTTAAGCATGACCTCTGGAGCTGCTACCACCACCACTCGCTCTGGTCGTGTGGTGAAGGGCCCCCGGCGACTTGTGACCGATGACAGCCAAACCACTGATTTCACAGACCAGGAAAAAGGCGATGAAATGGCTCTACTTGGCCCCAACGAGGCAGAAAGTGGTGTAGATGCTGTGGAGAGCCAAAACCCAGATCAGCTGACTGGTGAAACTGAGGTAGAAGACATAAGTGTTGGCAAATAATGATGATTTCTAAGCAAATATGGTGGGTATTATCTCCTTCGTCTTGTGCTATTTGCAGGTATCTGACTTGCAGATTGACTTAAATGACAACAGTGTTAACCAGGGGATGGAGGAAGTAGAAGAAGAAGAGGAAGAAGATGATGTGGGGGATTTTGAGGCGATCACTGAAGACACAGATGAAGAGTATGTTCCTGTCGAAGAGCCCGGTTCCTTATCCCCGTCCACTTCAACGGCACAGAAGCGCAAAGCTCAGAGTAAAACGGATAAAAGTGAGAATGGAGAGGCCGTGGAGGAAGACTCCAAGAAGGACTGTGTGCTGTGTCCCATCTGTAACAAATCCTTCAGGAGCAAATACTACCTTAAAGTCCACAACAGGTACACACCTTCAGTTTTAATTCAAAATATTGTTATAGATTGGCGACTAATGGGTCTTTCTCTGTAGGCGACACACAGGTGAGCGACCCTTTGGTTGCGCTAAATGTGGAAAGAGATACTTCAGGAAGGAGAATCTGTCGCTTCATGAGATCAAAGACTGTGCTAAAGTGCAGGTGAGTGTCTCTACATCCGTCCTAAATGTCAAGTTAGAATATAAAGAGTGTAACATCAGTGTTTGTGCTGTGTTTACATTACAGACATACACCTGCGTGACATGCTCCTCCACGTTCAACGGGAAAGTAGAGCTGCGTTTGCACGTTGTGTCCCACACGGGGAATATGCCCCACAAGGTACAGGCTGACACAACAAAAATAGCATTTGAATAAAAAGATATCACATTTGAAATGAGCTTCAGTGATATGGTGTCATGTTTTCCAGTGTTCATCATGTCCTGAACAGTTTATGCACAAGAAAAACTTGACGATTCACATGATGAAGGTCCATGGTCATCCCAAACCACATGCAGTGAGTCCTCTAATGTTTATTTGACTAACTGGTGATGTATCTACAGTAATAATGTTTTTTTTAGCTAAACAAAGGTTTCCCACAGTTCGCCATATATTTTCAATGCAAAAAAACACTTATGATCTCAAGGTTTAAGGTTGTAGTTTCATTCTGTTTTAACAATATTTTACTCTTCAGTGTTCCCAGTGCCCCAAAACCTTCCTAACTCGGACGGAGCTGCGTGTGCACGAAGCAGCCAAACATCGAGGGGAGAAGCCGTTTGTGTGTGAGGAGTGTGGCCATCGAGCGTCCAGTCGGAACGGCCTGCAGATGCATATCAAAGCCATTCACAGGTAGCTATTTCCTGATTTGTAAATTGGTTGCATTTGTGCAGATTGTCTGAGTCTTTTTTGTCTTGCTCTACAGGAATGAGCGGCCTTTCGTATGCACCCTGTGTGGCCATGCATTCTCCCAGAAGAACAACCTGAACATGCATCTGCGTATACACAGCGGTGAGAGGCCTTACCAGTGCCATCTCTGTGGGAAGACCTTCAGGACTCAAGGTAAAGACCATCCTCTTCTGTCTGCTGCCGTCTCCATCACTGTGAACACAACCAGATCGAATAAATAGGTTCTCAAACCAACAGACAACAAATCACATTATTTTAACCATATTGCTGCAACTTGAGTCACAATTGAAATGCACATATTTTTTGGATTCATTGGGACTAACACTTAAGTAGACTATTATATCTCTGTTGTCTTTTTTCAATAAACATCCACAAATCTGCCTAAAATCATAAAAAAAGACACTCTGTATAACCCCAGAACTTGCCCGAGATTCATCACGTTTTAAGTTGTTTTCGGTATTAAAGTAATACAGTGGTAGTTCTCTGTACATCCATGAGCAAACAACAATATGTAATAGCTTATTCCGCATACTTTCAATTATGCCATTTAAATGGGCTTAAGTACTAGGCCCCAGTGTAACTCACTGAAACCCCTGCATAGTCATACTTCCTGTTTACCTCCCCTATTTCATTTCATTTCAAACCTTTATTTAACGAGATTGGTCCCATTGAGATCATAGATCTATTTTTCAAGGGAGACCTGCAGCATATAGGTTCCACATGAAACATAAAACAATAAAGGACATTATACATTATATTTACAGGATACATTTACATAGTTATAGACATTTACAAGTGCCCATAGTATCAACAAGCATTTCATTTAGCCTAGCTTTAAAAACATGCAGAGGAATGAGATTGCTCAGTTTCTATTCTTGCTGAAGATTGTTCCAAGCAAGTGGAGCCAAACCAAAGCCAAAGAACTATGGGACATGTAGTTCAAACATTGTGTGCATGATTGTCCTTTTAAAAACTATTATGTGTGTCATAATAGGTTTGACAAAATCTGTTCACATTACATTTTTTTTAATGTTGCAATCATTGTTTTTTAAAATATTTTTATTCACATGTAAAAAAAGAAAAGAAAGTGTAACAGTGCATTACAGCAATTAAGGCATTTTCATTTTTTCCCTCCCAAAAGAACCCTTACTCACTTTCCCTTAACCCCGCCCCATCCCAACCACCCCTCTCCCGGAGCACTGAGGCAACAGTACATCAATACAATACAAAATGATAGATACAATAATATACATATACATACATACATACATACTAACACATATCCAGGGATGTCACATGGGCTGCCTATGTGGTGGACAGGGGAGTAATCATATCAGAATTATAGACGGATAAATAAAGGGAGAATCCCTACAGCGACACCATATCAGGGGGAAGACGGTCTACATAGCTGATCAGTGGCCTCCAATGAGCGTAAAACTTATCTGAGGAACCCCGGAGAGTAAACTTAATTTTTTCCAACTTTAGAAGAGACATAGTATCACTCAGCCACATTTGAAAAGAGGGAGGTAAAGGAGATTTCCACAAAAGAAGGATTTTCCTACGAGCAATCAAGGCGGTAAAGGCGATGACATTGGTTTGAGTGTTTGTAATGTTGATTCCATCTGGGGGCCGACCGAAAATAGCTACATGAGGGGATGGAGAGATTTTTAGACCTACAATTTCAGAAATACATTCGAAGAAAGATTGCCAGAAGCTAGATAATTTAGGGCACGACCAGAACATGTGAGTCAGGTCGCAGGGGGCCTGGGAGCATCTATCACACCGGTCATCCAATCTATCTGGATAAATCCTGGAGAGCTTAGCCTTGCTATAATGTAGTCTATGGAGAACTTTAAACTGTATTAGGCTGAGTCTAGCGCAACTGGAGGATGAGTTAACGGCTCTCAGGGCCTTCTTCCAAAAGTCATCAGAGAAGGTGAACTGTAGTTCCTTTTCCCAATTAGTTCTAATCTTGTTAATGGCAGATTCATCAACCGGAGAAAAAAGATCATAAAAGTAAGAGACATGGCGCCTAGACAAAGTTCTTGCTCTAAGTACAAGATCCACTCCACTGGGAGGCAGGGATTGAGGGAATTGTGGAGAGTGGGTCTTAGCAAAATCCCTTAGTTGAAAGTATCTAAAGAAATCAGATCCTCTTAGATTAAAGGCAACCCGTAGTTGGTCAAAACTGGCAAACAGGCTATCAATGTATAGCTCCCCTATGCAGCGGAGGCCTTCCCTCTTCAAGTGAGAAAATCGGGGGTCAATTGTGGCTGGTAAAAATAGATGGTTGTTACAGACAGGAGTTGCTTGAGGAAGAGTAAGCCAACCAAAGTGACGTCTAACTTGTGCCCAGATCTTTAAAGTGCCAATTACAACGGGGTTAGATGTGAATTGTGAGGGGGAAAGGGGCAGAGTGCTACACGCGAGGGCTTGAAGTGACGTGGATCGACATGAGTTGGCCTCCACAAGACACCAGTCACTCTGGGGTGAAGTGAACCAGAGCATGATCTTGTGTGTGTTTGTGGCCCAGTAGTAACCCATAAGGTTAGGTAAACCAAGCCCACCCAGGAACCTGTCCCTCTGCAGTAATGGTCTACTAGCTCTTGCATGTTTACCAGCCCAAATAAATGAGGAAATAATATTATCAATAGCAGTGAAAAAAGATTTAGGCAAAAAAATAGGTAGGCATTGGAACATGTATAGATATCTGGGCAGTACATTCATTTTTATTGTCTGAACTCTTCCTGCTAAAGAGAGTGCCAGATGGCCCCACCTCTGCAGGTCAGATTTGACTGTTGCCGTCAGGACAGTAAGATTTTGTTCCCGTAGCGCACTAAAAGACTGCGTGATTGCAATGCCCAGATATTTAAACCCTGAGTTGGATATTCTAAAAGGCAACGACAACGGAGGTAATTCTGTAGCCAATTGGTTGATAGGGAAACATTCACTCTTTTGGATGTTTAATTTGTATCCTGAAAATGAACCAAAAGTGGTCAAAAGTGAGAGAATGTGTGGAGTACTAGCTATAGGATCGCGCACATACAGAAGGAGGTCGTCAGCATATAACGAGACCCTGTGTTCGATATCCCCTCTCTGAATCCCCTTAATTCCTCTCTCTGCTTTTAGAGCAATCGACAATGGCTCGATAGCAATTGCAAATAGTAGTGGGGAGAGCGGACACCCCTGACGCGTCCCGCGAAAAAGAGGAAAGAATTTGGAGCGCTGGGTGTTCGTACATACAGAGGAGTGAGGAGAAGAGTACAGAAGTCTAACCCAGGAGACGAGGCCTGGACCAAAGCCCAGCTGTTGAAGGACAGAAAACAGATAGGCCCACTCAACCCTGTCGAAGGCCTTCTCAGCATCAAGAGATATGACAACCTCCGGTTCAGCAGGAGAAGGCGGGCTGTGGATGACGCTGAGAAGTCTTCGGACATTTGTGAAGGAGTGCCTCCCCCCTATGAATCCTGTCTGATCTTCCGAAATGATGGAGGGTATAATAGATTCCAACCGGCGAGCAAAAATCTTCGCAAGTATTTTCACATCTACAGACAGGAGCGAGATTGGGCGATATGATGCACAGCTCAACGGGTCCTTACCCTTCTTAAAGATCAGAGAGATAGAGGCTTGCATAAGGGTAGGCGGCAGTGAGCCTTGGACGTACGACGAATTAAACATATCTAATAATAATGGGGAAAGTTGATTTGAGAATTTTTTGTAGAATTCTACCGGGTATCCGTCAGGTCCCGGTGATTTGCCACTATTCATGGACTGTATTGCCTCTTTAATCTCAGCAAGCTGCAGGTTGGCATCTAGTGTCTGTTGGTCGTTAGTCGAAATCTTGGGCATATCCAATTTATCCAAAAATGTATGTAGCTGATCTTCGTTATCAGGGGATTCAGACGTGTAGAGACGAGAGTAGTAGGTTTTAAAGATGTTATTAATCTCTCCCGGGTCAGAAGTGAGAGAGCCCAACCCGTCCCGAATCTGGGTGATTTGGTTCGAGGCCACCCTAGCCTTTAGTTGGTGGGCCAGGAGACGGCCAGCTTTATCGCCATGTTTATATATAGACCCTCGTGAGTGTAGAAGGAGTCGTTCAGCCTCTCTTGTTAGGAGAAGGTCAAGTTCTGTTTGGAGCCCCATCCGTTCTTTAGATAGATCAGATGATTGAGTGGAAAATAGTTGGTTGTCTAGATTAATGATAGATTCTTCCAGTTCTCTTTGGCGTGCTCTACGAAGTTTATTAACATGAGACGTATGCGAGATGATCTTACCCCTAAGAAAAGCTTTAAGGGTTTCCCAGAGTAGGGACGCAGAGGTCTCTTCATTTTGGTTGGTCTCACAGAAGAATGCAATTGATTCCGAAATACACTCACAAAAGGCTGCATCAGAAAGTAAAAGAGGGTCAAGACGCCAGAATCTAAATTCCTTAGGCTTATGATCAAAGTGAAGGTCCAGGATCACAGTTGAATGATCTGATACAGTTATCGGTGAGTATTGAACGGAGACAATCGACGAAATAAATGTTTTATCAACAATAAAATAATCTATGCGAGAGTATGAACGATGTGCATGGGAAAAGAAAGAGTATTGCCTAGCCGAGGGGTGTAAAAATCTCCACGGGTCGACGTAGCCATAGTGGTCCATAAAAGCAGAGAGAGTCTGTGCCGTTTTAGAGGGCGCCACAGTTCTGGAACTAGATCTGTCTAGTGTTGGGTCTATAACACAATTCATATCTCCTCCCAGTATCAATAGATGGGAATTCAAATTGGGTATGGTGGAGAATAGCGATTTCACACAATGATGATCATCCCAATTGGGAGCATACACAGAAACTAAGATGACCGGCTTCTGATAGAGAGTACCAGAAATGATGACATAACGTCCATTTGGATCTAAAATTGTATTAGTAGGGGTGAAATTTACTTTTTTCCGAATTAAAATGGCTGTGCCCCTTGTCTTTAGGTTAAATTGTGAATGAAACATTTGTCCAATCCACGGCCTATTCAGCTTTCGCTGATCAGATTTACAGAGATGTGTCTCTTGTATAAACATTATATCCGCCTTCAGGTTTTTAAGATGTGTCATAATCTTTGTGCGTTTCACCGAAGCATTCAACCCACCAGTGTTCAAAGAGAGTATCCTGACCGCCTGTCCACCACCAGTCCCTGTACCAGTTATATTAGCCATGACACTGCATACAGCATCGAAGGTGTAAGATCAGCCTTAGAACATCCACAACTAAAAATGGAGAGAACAGTGTACATAAAGATGACAAAACAGAATGTAAATGAAACAGCTGCCTCAAACAAATGGAAACCTGTAGCCCCATCAAGATAAATGCCCCACCCTCTCCCTCCCATCCTCTACTCCTTCCCACCTCCTCCCATGCCCTAGACCCCCTCCCTCCCCACCCCTGAGCTCCATCTGCCAATGAAATTGGCAATAACTTCCCTACCTGAATCATCTCTCCTTCTTCAAGGTGTCTCAGTACCCACATCATGCAGATACAACCTCCTTAGTAAGTGTAACAATTGTGAACAGCAAATGTTAACAAGAACATTGCAAAAGTGCAAGAACATCCCGGGTATAGTGTAAATACAAAAATGAAAACAATTAAATTAAATTAAAATAGATGTAAACATGTCACATCGTCTGCTGACTTGGCCGAGCAACGTTAGTTATAAAAGAAATGACGTCCCAACAGAACGACGGCTGTAAAGTGCCCAGAAACAATTGTGAACAGCATGAGTTAACAAGGACATTCGAAAAAGTGCAAAAAACACCCCGGGTATATAGTGTAAATATACAAATGTAATCATACAAAAAATAAATGTAGACAACATGTCGCATTGTGCGCTGTCATGGCTAGGTAACGTTAGATTATACAATCAATTGTGTCCCAACATAACGGTTGTAACGTACCCAGTCCACCATCAATGCAGCGCCAGCGCGGTTTAGCCTAGCCTAGCTTAGCTCAGCCACCACTAGCCTAGCACAACATCAGTGGTTAGTTAGCCGGCTCGCGTTCATAGCCAGCTGCAAAGGCTACAGCCTCCAGGGGCGAGGGGAACCTTTTCTTAGCCCCACTTCCAAGTGTGATCTGCAGGCGAGCAGGGAACAGAAGAGCCGGTCTGAGGCCTAGGTTGTACAGCTTTGACATGATGTCTCGGTATTTCGCCCGCTGTTCGAGAACCTCCTGTGTGAAGTCCTCGTAGATCTGCACTGGTGTCCCACGGTAGCGGAGATCCCCTCGTCTCTTGCGGGCCTCCCGGACAATCAGGTCCTTTATTTGGTAGCGATGCAGCCGGCGCTCTGTGTGCACGGTCCAGCTCGGGAGGGGATGAGAGAGTTTCATTGCCTAGCAGCTCCACCAAAAATTCAGAAAAGAAGGTTGTAGGCCGGGGTCCCTCAATAGACTCAGGAAGTCCAATGATTCTAATGTTATTTCTGCGGCTCCGACCTTCCAGATCTGCGGTCTTCGCAGCTAGCTTAGCATTGCTATCTGCTAATACCACACACTTCTCCTCGAGTATACGGAGTCGCTGATCTTGCCGATTGGCATTGGTCTCAAGAGAGTCTATTTGTTCCCCATGTTCTGCTACTGTGGTCTGCGTTTGGTTCAGCTTCGCCTCCAGTACCGCAAAGGCAGCTTTGAAATCAGCTGAAATGCTAGCTCTGTGCTCTTCAAGCAGGCTAATTATGCTAGCCATGTCCGCGCCAGCAACTTCACTTGCACTTGAGACAGCAGTTTCGGTCTTTTTTGCCTGTTTCGTCTCCGTTTTCAACGCAGGGTTTCGGCATCACATCGGCTTGTTCTGATTTATAGTCCAAATTATGTTCACACAATACGGGTTTAACTCAACTTCGGTGGTTTTAAATTAAATGTAGAAAGTAAAATCGTGGGAGAACGAGACAACGCAGCCCTCACATGTTCGTCCAACCGGAAGTCTCTCATTGTTATTTCTTGAGATTACGGAGATTTAGAGAAATTAAAGATTGGGAGTAATGCATTTGAAAACCCACTGAATTAGATTAATATAGATATATTAATAATTCGATGTATCCAACTACTGAAAGCAGTCTTCTTGAACACACTACAAACATTTATTTAAATAGATTTTTTGTTTCATGTTTGAATCTGTCTTTCTAATCCCAGCCAGTCTAGATAAACACCAGCGGACACACACTGGTGAGCGTCCGTTCAGCTGTGATGTGTGTGAGCAGCGATTCACAGAGAAAGGCGCGCTCGTCCGTCACAAGGCCAGCAAACACGAGGAGGGTCGACCCCACTGCTGTCAAATCTGTGGCAAGACCTTCAAAGGTGCCATAAAAAAACCTATAAATCAATAAGCCATGTACCCTGAGGAGAAAAGCCTTGAAAACTCACTTAATGTTATTTATTGCTTTTTACACAGCGAGGGAGCAGCTGCGTGTTCACCTGCGTCGCCACAAGGGCATGAGGAAATTCGAGTGCATAGACTGCGGCTACAAGTTCACTCGACAGGTGAGCTGGCGTCCTGATTATTGATTTAGTTTCACCATAAATGATTAGCAGAGGATGGTTTCGATCCATCGACCTCTGGGTTATGGGCCCAGCACGCTTCCGCTGCGCCACTCTGCTGCCACCTCAGATGGGACTCGAACCCACAATCCCTGGCTTAGGAGGCCAGTGCCTTATCCATTGGGCCACTGAGGCTTGTGCTGCTGTAGGGGGAGCCAGTGTGGACACATTGTCCCCGGTGGTATTCACATGCTAATCCTTTCTGAATGACTCTTCTATAGAAAGGGACGGTTGCCTTTGTGTTCAGTTAGGGAGAGTTCCTGAATGTGTTAAAAGGAAGTGTGGTGTTGTTCATTGTGTGCAACACTGCAGGATAAGTGTTTGGTCTTTAAAGTAAAAAAACAAATACTCTAATCTATATCGCTCTAATTTTGTTTTAAGAATTTTTAGTTAATGGAATGACGGTTGTGAAAAAAGTATAATGTTTGTCTGAATCAAAGAAAATCCCCTGATTTATTAAGAAAAAAGGAAACAAATACAGCATAAGATAAGAGATAAGATAAGATGGTACTTTATTGATCCCAATTTGGGAGATTGTTTTTGTTGCAGCAGCATAAAAGACAAGGCATTTTACAATAAAACAAGAATAGAAATAAAATAGAAAATATACATGTTGAAATAGAAAATATACATGTAGATATTATATACATAAATATGACATATGGAATATTAAATATTGAGCAGATAGCGTATCTTATTCTGCCGTGGAGAGAAATTAATATTATTTTAGAACAGACGACCTTACAACAATTTCTAATGAACTCAAATCTATCCATTCAACTTAGTTTTATGTCATATCTTTTCATTTTCGCAATTTTTATTAATTAATTCAGAAATGTTTCTAACAAAAACATGCTATCTGGGTGTCTGGTAAAAGCCGTTTCAAACTTTTACAATGTAAAATGCTATTATGATTTCATATACGTATTTATTAATGAACAAAGTGAACATTGTAGTTAGTTTACTTTCTAAGAAAAACTAAAACTTTAATAAAAATAATGTTTAAATGGCTTGTTTTGTACATCTAACAGTCTAATACCCCCTGTTTATAAAATGTTCCGTTTACAAAGGACAGAGAAGTAGCAAATTGTTTAATAAAAAATAAGCCAAAAGAAAAATTCAAAATAAAGTATTAAAAAAATAAATAAAATAGGGAGTCTTTGGTAATCTTATTGAATTGTTGACACATTTTAACCTTTACACGTTTGCCCTTCCAGGCACACTTGCGACGGCACACTCAAATCCACAAACGCACGGAGAACTACAACCCCCGGCAGAGGAAGCTGAGGAACCTGGTGGTGCAGGACGTGGAGGGAAGTCCTGATGAGAGCGAAGCTGCGAAAGACGAGGAAGACTCTCTGATGGCCGGGAAGACCAATTACATCCCAGAGGCAACCGCTGACGTCCAGGAACCCACAAACCCAGAGCCAGGAGCTCTCGTAGTGATGGAGTCGAGTGTCCCTGTGATGGAGGAGGCGTCCAATCAGAACCTGGGACACGTCGGGGCGGCGGAGAGCTTCTCTGTGCCAGAAGTGTTGCAGCAAACACAGCTGGACACCGAGGCGTTGGAGTCCACGATAAATGCAGAGAACGTTTGAGAACATACCCCTCAGAGTTGAAGTCACTGTGAAGACCATTTCCTAATGAGAGCACTTATCATTAGATGTGATTTAAGGACATCTACCGATCCAAAGATGGAACTGGAACATGGCCAGCTACTTCTGAGTTTCTAGAGAAGAGCATTACTAATTATCAGGCTTTTATTTTTGGTAAATTAACTGCATGCTTGTGAAGGCTGCTTGAATGTGAAATGATATTGTTTTTGTATTGCTTCCTTCCATCTATGTGCCTATACTGCAGCTAAGGTAATAAATGCTCTTCAGTGGCGCTCTGTTTCCATATCAACATTATTTGGAATCAAGACACTACACAGGTTATTGTTTTATGTTAAAATACACAGCTTTATAAGTGAATGCATTAGCGTACTCCTATTTATAAAAATATTGTCCCACTCAGCTGCAACTACTATCCACTGTTTATAAGAAATATATTAGCAACATGCTAATCAAATGTGACTGGGCTAATGAACTCTCCTGTCTGCAGTTCAATTTATGCTAACCACATTGTAAACATTTTACAAACACAATACGCTAGGTTAGGAATATACTGTATTTACAAACTTGTGTGAAAACTATACCATAAAAACATGAAACTAAACGAGAACAAATTGAGATTCTTTTGCACTTCCAGTTACCGACCACCCATCACTAACGCGTTACTTTTCTTGTTGCAACTGATAGGCGGGGACATCTAAGCAACCACAGCACAAATATATCCATGAATAAAAATACAAAACCACAAAAAAATACAAATCTTAAATAAAAATCTTCATGCACATTCTACTTCTGGTTATAAAGCTTAGTTCAAGGGTCAGGAGGAGATGTCTAAATATCACTCAATGGTATATCAACCGAATACAAGTCATTCAAACAATGCAGCCGTCCTGAAATCCTACAATAGTGACAAAAGATTACTCAGTACAACTGAGTACAATATATCTCAACCCTTCATGTGAAGCCATAAGGCTGTTTAGTAATACGTATCAATTGTGATTGTCGTTTTTGGAATGTAAACTGATCGTTGCTGTTTCTGAACAAATATTTGGCTAATTGTAAAAGGAGAACATTGGTTTAGCATTGCAGCGCTGTAAACTGACAGACTCTGACTAGAGATATTTTTAGCTAGAGATATAGTTAATAATAATATATATAGTTAGATGCATTTTTGGTTTACTTATCTGCTTGGAAGCAGGATAAGGGAAAGACTACAGGCCCTGGTTTTAGTGAAACTTTGGAAGTGGGAAGGAGGGGCCATGGAAGAAAATATAACATTTTGGAAATCACTCAGCGGATACACACATTATTTTTTTAACTTAAAGAAAGAACCATGGCAAATTCCTTCTTTCCTCAAATTTGTTGCCTACATTTCCCACAATGCAACTGCCAACATTACTTTTGTATCAACGTAGTTAGACAAAACAAGTCTAAGAAACCCCACAGCGCTGCTACATGAGGGGGATCAGTCTTTAGATGTAACAGGGATCTGGGTCCGATCAGTGCGCTGGGTTCACGTCCTGGTTCTGGTTCTGGTTGAGATTGTTGTTGAGGTTTTGGAGCGCTAGGTGCCGGTGGTGCCGGTGCAGGTGGATGGCGTTCGACTCGGGGATTTCGGCGGGTGCGAACGCGCTGCTGACCTGCGGCATGAACTGTCGGAAGATGCTGACGCTGCCGTGCCAGAAGGTGGGCTGCGGCAGGCGCCCGGCCGGGGTCCAGCAGCGCGTCGTCGGGTCGAACGTCTCCACCACGTCCGACAGCTCGAACGTGTTGTCGTAACCCCCGGAGACGTACAGTTTACCGCCCAGCGCCGACACACTGCCTCCTACATGGACCTGGATGAAAGACACAAGATTGAGAAAAAGAAAATGGAGCCCCAACAAATATGCTGGATGTAGTAATTGAATTCATAAATATATAATACATGTAGTTCTTTATATATGGAGCCCCAAAATGAAGCTTTATCATTTTCCATTAAAACACACACAAGCTGTCTAATAATCACTGTACAGGACATTAATAGACACATCTCATTATCATATGGAAATGTTAATAAATGTAGGATTAAATACAACAACAAAAAAAGTCTAAATAAATTAAGATTTTAACAAATGATTTGTGATAGGAAAATATTTCTTTAAATATAAAAAAAAAAAAAATAGATTATTATTTTCTCTATTTTAATAATTCAACTACAAGTATAATTTGTCTATTTATTGAGCATATTCAGAATCAGAAACAGGTTTATTACCAGGTAGGTTTACACGTACAAGGAATTTGACTTGATGTCATGGTGCATACATAAAAAATAACATTAAAGAATATTAAAAATAATAAAAGATATAGTAAAATATAGCAGTATCTACATAGAAATAGAATGGAATAAAATTGAATACAATTCCATTGAATCATATGATCACATTTGACTGCTTTGTGTCAACTTTGGGGCTAATAGGTTCATGTTATATTGTAAGGGGCAGTCATAAGTCATATTTTACATTAACAAAGCTTCGAAGTAATAATAGAGATTCAGAAGGCCGTACTGTATTTAGAAAGCTAAATAAAACCGTGACAAGCGGCAGTCGTTCATGTATTTATGATCATATTTGAATTGACTGCAGTGTCGTTGACCCCTGATTATGGGTCAGAGCTATTAGAGAGCTAACAGGTTAGTTTTAAAGCATGCTAGGGTCGAATGTGAAATACAAACCTGGGTCATCGGACTAATTTTGTCCCACTCGTTCTTTTGAGGATTATAAACATCCACCTCGGCCGAGTCATCCCTGCAAATAGAAACACACCATGGTCAGAGCAGTCATTACTCAGATGTAGACACGCTAACTTCACTGAGGATCGCAACAACAATTTAGTATGAGCCAATGTTTCTTTAGTGAGATGGAGTAATAATGTAACTGTTACTCAGAGCCTTTGAATTGTCACTTCTATAACATGAGTAGGGTATTTTGTATGGTCATTTTGTATTTAACAAATCACCACATCTTCTATTTTAATAAGCCTTTTTTTGGTCATTTCTCACGGCGGGAAACTGGGCAGTTAGCGCACCCATGTGGTAGAACACCAGAATGAGTGTTCAATAGTTAATATAGTCCACATGCCTTTATTATAAAGCATTTACGAGAAGTGGAAGTACTCAGAGCCTTAATGTAACTAAAGTGCGAATATAACAATGTTAAAAGGAAACAATTTAAATCGACAAACAACTATTTTCATCTTTAGCAGTTTCACACTTAGCTGATTTATTAGTTTATCGATGTTGTTTTTGTTTAATCTTCTTGGTAATAAAGTAACTGGTAACAAAAGTAATCAAATTGATTGGTGAAGAAGAAGCAGCAAAAAGTGGAAAACATGTACACGACAGGGTTTCCGTTAGCCGGTAATTACCGGTTTTTAGCTGGTAACATTTATTAAAAAACGGTAAATTCAAAACCTGCCGGTCAAAATGTCCGATAATAATGCTCATACAAAACTTAGATAACGTATGCTATCCCTAGACATTTGTGACCCTCTCTATCGAAATCTGTCGGAAGTCGCAACGGCTCATTTAAAAAATAAACGTGGATTTGACAGGGAACTTCCTGTTGCCTCCCTGAGGGAATATGACAGGCACCTCTCACTCGCACCCTGCTTTTCCTCAGCGCCGCTCGCCCTCCCTCCGGCTGAAATTATGAATGTGGTGTATAGTAATCATAGATAACACGGCAGGGTCCGTGAGAGTTGGTTTTCATCTGATTTCAAATAAACAAAGTCTTGGCTTTCAGAATATTAAACTTGTTTCGGCAAATTCAGATGATAAATACAACTTTGAAGCTTCGGCATAATTACAAGCAGAGAACGGAGTAACTTTACGTCACAGCAGGCATAACAACAGCCGGTGTTTCTTCTGAGAGTTTTCCCCGGGAAACGAACAATAGACCTAGACACAAACACGTCATACATATTACACACACTCGTGAGCTTCTGTAATACTTATAGGCCTAGTAAACGTTGAAGGAATGTATCAGTTGCCTTCGTGGCACGCAGTTAGATATGGTTAAACAATCCAACATTCACACATTTTCCCTCAAAAATAGCAGTAAGCCTGTCGATAAGCCTACCTCTGAGTCTGACTCTGCGCCTGATGAAGCAACCCCGCAAACATCCGAAACCGCAGGTCCAGCGGTGAAGAAGGCGAGAGTACACTTTAAAGCCGATTGGCAGAAGAAATTCAAATGGCTTCAATGTGAAAGTGTCGATGGAGTGGAAAAAATGTTTTGCTCCCTTTGTGCTAGGTCAGGGAGGAAAAATGGCTTTACCAGAGGATCAACCAACATGAGAGCATCAGCCCTCACAGAGCACAGCCAGTGCCAAGACCACACGTTCGCAGTTAACGCAGGACAACAACAAATGGCTATGAAAAGTCATATCGACAGCGCAAAAGAACAGAGCAGCCAGAAGCTGCATTCCCCATTAAAAGTGGTGTTTCACATGACCAAAAATGATAATCCAGGTAACCAGTTCAGAGGAATGACTGATTTACTGAGGGCAGTAGGGGCTCCTGATTTTGGAACCGATGACGGCATTTACAAGCATAGCGAATCCTTGTGTGACATGGAGAGGGCACTGGAGGGTGTTATTATGAGGCAGCTTGACGAAAAACTTAAGGCCAGTGAATTCATTGGAATCATCATTGATGAGACTGTCAGTATTACAGTGGAAAATAAATGAATCGTATTTGCCAAGATTGAAAACAAGGGCAAGATTGATAACTTTTTCCTGGGCAATTACATTGCATTCCGGAACTGCGCAGTGCATATATGAGAAAGTGGTGGAGGTGCTGAGAGGGAGAGGAATTGAGCTATCAAAGGTCATGGGCCTGGGCTCGGATGGAGCCAGTGTGATGACAGGGAAACGTGCTGGAGTTGGTGCTCTCTTGAAGAGAGTAAATCCCTTCTTGATCCAGGTGCACTGTGTCGCTCACCGAGCTGCACTTGCAGCTGTAGATGCTCCAAATGCTGTGAGTCAGGTGAGCGCATACAGACGCACTGTGAATACAATCCATTCATTCTACAAGCTCTCCGCAAGTAGGACGAATCGCCTCCGTCAGCTGACAGCGACCCTAAGCGATGAAGACATGGTTAGTTTGAAACGGCCATGCGCCATCCGTTGGCTGTCCTTGCATAACGCAGTGCAAAGTGTTAAAAGCAACTAGCCTGCTCTGGTAATGGAGTTGAACAGTGAAAAAGTGAACGGCAATACCCAAGCCCAAGGTATTCAAAATCAGATTCAGCAGTACTCTTTCATTGCTCTCACCCACTCACTGTCTGATGTACTTCCAGTGATGACTAATTTGAGTTTGGTTTTTCAAAAGGAGGACGCATCTATCGCAGGTCTTACACAGCTGAAAGGTGAGCTAGGCCCAGAGGAGGTGGAATTCCAAAATGATCTCCAAGATGGAAAGTATATAAATGTGGAAGTGACACATCTGAATGAAAGGTCCATTCAGGCTCACACAAACGTACGATCAAAGTACATTCAGCATCTCATCAATGCGTTACAAGACCGATTCCCCGATGACACTCTGGATCTCATCAGCTCCCTCGACATCCTTCTGAACCCCTCCCGATACCCCCATGCACAGTCTGGTAAGCAATTCTCTCAACATTTCTCTTGGTCATATTCATTTTATCCTATCGGCACATATTCTACAATATATAACTTCTGCGCAGCACCTGACACTCTCTTTATCTCTTGCTAGTAGCTAGCCTACTATTATAGTAGCCTATACAGCGGGCATCCAAATTAAATAATTCCGTCCCAATATCCATCAAATTCGCTCCAATAGTGCTCCTTAATTAAGATGTATTTCTTCCTTTACGAAATAATTTAAATCCATCCAGTTTGTTCCACTGTTTTGTACACTTTTGAGACTTTTAAAACTATTTACCGCTGTGGCATTCCCTGTTGAATATAAACTAGGAAATGGCGCCTATAGTACTACTACTACGACTAATAATAATAATAATAATAATACATCCTTTCAGCGTTTCAGGAATATGCCAGAGACGCCACTGAAATGGTCATTGCACATTTTGGCCATGAAGTGACTGAATCAGCTGCCGCACCTCTCATCGATGTCAAGCGCGCCCGGCGAGATGCAGTGGCAGTGATGACAGCGCTCCACGGCTATGGGGGTTTAACTTTTGCCACAGCTTGCAAAGTGCTCATTTGTGAGTTCAGCGAGCTGTACCCTGACTGGGCTACACTGGCTAAAATTGCCTGTGTTCTGCCCGTGTCAAGCGTGCCTGCAGAGAGGGGCTTCTCCTTGCTGAACCGTGTCAAGACATCACTGCGGAGTCGTCTGGAGGAGGAGAGAGTGACGCGGCTTATGCGTATTGCAAGCTGCAAAGACACCTTGGACACGTTTCATTTCAGCTCTGCAGCAGAGGACTTTGCCGCAATGAAAGCAAGGAGAAAGTAAAAAGGGTAGCCTAGGGTAAATGTGATGCCTTTTTTTAAAACGGGCTCCAGATGTTACACGTGTTTTTTTTTAATAGCCTACATTTTAGCGGCTAATGAGGTTTTGCTCAATCGTTCCTGTTCGTTTTGTTTAATCGTTTCTGTTGTTCATTAAATAGTCAAACTGATTTGAGGTCGTTGTCATTCTTTCGTCAATCTAGGTGTACATTATAGTTGCGTTTGTAAGATAGACTGTTATTGAAACATGACCGGTAAGTTTAGAATTTATCCGGTAAAATAAATTCTGTCCGGACATCTGACCGGCGAGAAAAAATCCTAGCGGAAACCCTGGTACACGAGTACAACTACCTCAAATGTATTTAGATCTGTCCTGGAATAAATAAACTTCGATCATTCGTGATTATCAATATCTGGTCTACAGTTTTAAAGAGGACACAACGCATTTGTCCTCCCATGAACACTTCAAATAACCAGTTTACTCTGAACCTACTAAGTTTAAACATGTAACTGAACACTTCCCTCCTCACCTGATGAAGTAGATGAGGCTTTTGAGCGTCACAGTTTTGGGAGTGAAGGACCAGGGGGGCATCTGTCCGCAGCTGACCAGGGTCCAGCGGTTGGACTCAGCGTCGTAGCTCTGGATGGCCATGGTCTCGTCCCCGGTGAGCGAGCCGATGGCGTACAGCCGCCCGCTGCAGGTGGTGGTGGAGCAGTTGTCCATGGGGTGCAGCATGGGGGGCAGGGCCTCCCAGCAGTCCAGAGCGTGGTCGTAGCGCTCCGTGCTGTCGGACGCCACCACGTACAGCTGGCCCTTCACCACCACCGAGCTGTGGTACTCCCTCGGCTTCAGCATGGGCGCCGCCTCCGTCCACTCGTTCACGCTCGACTTGTAGCGCCACACGCCGTCGTAGAGGCGCGAGCCATCAGAGCCGCCTGGAGGACACGGACATGGTTAATATGCACCGGGGATTCCTCATTTTCTGCTGCATAAAAGATTCAAATAATAATACATTGGATTTATATAGCGCTTTTCCTAATGCTCAAAGACGCTTTACATAAAATCAGAAACAGTACAACGAAAACAAAAACCATAAACAGTACTCCTAATGCAAGTGTGAGTAAAGTGGGGGGGGGTTGATCAGAGTCTGAAAGCTAGAGCAGTATAATATTATACGGCAAAGGAAAGAAGCAGATTATTCCAAATCCTCCAATTTATATTTCAAAGGTTCATTATTACAGTTTTATTTTATATTGTATGTGAAGCACAACGTACCATTATAATAACGCTCTTTATCAGCCTTTGAAACTGAAACCATTTTGGGAAGAAAAAATAAATGAAATTATAATCATAATGTATCATAAACGTGAGACGATTAGTCGACTAATCGCCTTAATTGACGACTAGACAAATCTTTAGTCGAGGGCAGCCCTAAAGTTCTGAAATATAACGAACATTACACATTCATAAAACGGCCGGTCGAGGTGGCAGATCAATGAAATGAATAGGCATATAAATAAACACAGGTCGGTATACAGATGATACAGGGATAACAAAGTACAGAAATCTTCAAGACATCTGAAAGAATATGATGTTTAGCTACCCTCCCCCCCCGGTCGTTGGTTTTATTGATCATTACCAACATTCTGTTTCAAAAACTCCATGAAAACTGCCAGCTTTCCTTTAAGTAATGTATGTTAGGTTTTCTAAACACATGCTGACAGATCCTTAATGTGGGGGAAACCTCTGAAGCAATTGGAGTCAGGACTCGGAGAGACACGATGAGAGCTGGAGCTTTGATGTCAAACACTGACGGTTTATTTGGAGCGTCGGCCGGAGAATTCACAAGACATGTCACGGGCCACGAGTTGACCACACGGTTGAGATGCCACAATCAATTCTGAAGACCCCTCCTGTAGCTCGAGGTTTTAACTAGTTCAGAGTGTAATAATCAGGGGTGCACATAACTTTTTTGCCCTGGTTCTCAAAGGAGCACTTGGAGATGTTGCTCGGTGCTCATCCTTAAAATGAAATAAACCGTAACTTTTGAGGGGGTCTTGACTTTATTTGCCAGACACACGGCACTGAACACACAGAGGTGAACACAAGACAACATTAGCACGACCAGTAATCCTACAAGCTGTCATCATACCCTCCTGACTGTTCTCCTGACTGTCCTCCTGACTGTCCTCCTGACTGTTCTCCTCACTGTCTTCCTCTCTGTTCTCCTCTCTGTTCTCCTGACTGTCCTCCTGACTGTCCTCCTGACTGTTCTCCTCACTGTCTTCCTCTCTGTTCTCCTCTCTGTTCTCCTGACTGTCCTCCTGACTGTTCTCCTCACTGTCTTCCTCTCTGTTCTCCTCTCTGTTCTCCTGACTGTCCTCCTGACTGTCCTCCTGACTGTCTTCCTCTCTGTTCTCCTGACTGTTCTCCTGACTGTTCTCCTGACTGTCTTCCTCTCTGTTCTCCTGACTGTTCTCCTGACTGTTCTCCTGACTGTCCTCCTGACTGTCCTCCTGACTGTCTTCCTCTCTGTTCTCCTGACTGTCCTCCTGACTGTTCTCCTGACTGTTCTCCTCACTGTCTTCCTCTCTGTTCTCCTGACTGTTCTCCTGACTGTTCTCCTGACTGTTCTCCTCACTGTCTTCCTCTCTGTTCTCCTCTCTGTTCTCCTGACTGTCCTCCTGACTGTTCTCCTCACTGTCTTCCTCTCTGTTCTCCTCTCTGTTCTCCTGACTGTCCTCCTGACTGTCCTCCTGACTGTCTTCCTCTCTGTTCTCCTGACTGTTCTCCTGACTGTTCTCCTGACTGTCCTCCTGACTGTCCTCCTGACTGTCTTCCTCTCTGTTCTCCTGACTGTCCTCCTGACTGTTCTCCTGACTGTTCTCCTCACTGTCTTCCTCACTGTTCTCCTGACTGTTCTCCTCACTGTCTTCCTCACTGTCAGACATGGTAGCTGATGATGTAGGCCTACTTCTTCCTCTCTGGTTGAGTCTGCGATTAGCTGCTTGCATCCACAAGTCAACAGCTGGTTTTGGGTCGAAAGTCTCTGTTGTCATCTTAGACAAGAGGATGTAATCAAATAAGTATGTGAACATAACCAATAACCTACCATAGCCAATAACAAATTAAACTTATTTTATTTGTGTTGTTCATTCATATCTTATTTTACCTTAACATTTATTTATTTATGCATCTTTTTTTTATCTCTCCAGTTTTAAAGGATATGTTTGGTTACTGTCCTATAGTATACATTGGAATGATTTCAAACCTGTGTATCCCAATAATTATAAAGGAGTGCCTTGGAAATATGTGTTTACATAAATTGTAAACACACAGCGCCTCCACAGATCTGGCGCCCTAGGCGAAGATCTATAACGCCAGTGCTACGGGCCGGCCCTCAGTTAATATGCAGCTCGCAAATATCTTTCTCTTTCTCTCTCTCTCTCTTCTCTCCTCCCTTCTCTCTCCTCTCTTCTCCCTTCTATCTCCTTTCTTCTCTCTCCTCTCTTCTATCTCCTTTCTCCTCTCTTCTCCCTTCTCTCTTCTCCCTTCTCTTCTCCCTTCTCTCTCTCTCTCTCTCTCTCTCTCTCTCAATGTTGGTGCGCAAATGCGCTTTTTTTCAAATGACCCGGTGCTCTTTTTTTGGCGGAGGTGTGCACCTGCGCACCAGTTATGTGCAGCCCTGGTAATAATCAACATTCTTCATCAGCGAGACCCTGAATCTAACTAGAGCTCTCGTCCATAGGAAAGAACGTGCGCCAGGGAACCTACGTTCCAGATAAAAGAAGGGCCTCTAGATGTCCCTGAACAATAAACTCATGTCAGCTTGTGCTCGGTCATAGACTGGCAACAACAATGCGCCCAAGCTGCCCCTCCTTAAGAGAGATAGCAGCAATACCCAAGGCCGTAGACCTATGCCAAGAAAAAGGAGAAAATGATGAACTGTGTCAAAGGTTGAATACCTAAGCAAATTATTCCCCAACACTTAATATATTTATTCATATTTGGTTTGTTCACATTTTACGGACATGGCTAATATGCACCGGGGGATGTCTCACTTTTTTCTGCATCATGGTGCATAAAAGATGCAAATGATATTATACGGCAAAGGGAAAAGCTAATTATTCCCATTCCTCCAGGTTATAGGATGTAAGGCTGTGTCTGCTTTCCTCAGGGTATTTGAATACAAATTAAATCCCCTCCACAGGAAATGTAAGACCTTTCTACTCCTTCTGAATAAACATTAGGATTGGGCGATATGTTTGAAAATTACAATATTATTATGGATTTTTTTTTACAATATTTGTATAAATCTCCATATTATACATATAATGGCAAATGTAAAATCCCCAGAAATGATCGAAATGTTAAGTCCAATAAGCGGTGTCCCACTATTTGCCTGCATGCATTACATGAAACAAAAAAACCTGTTTAATACAAACTTAAATGAAATAACTCCTCAAAAAAAGTTTGGAAACGTTATTTCGGTCGATTATTCCTCCCCTTTAATAATACCAATTGGTATTGTATTGTATATCGTTGGAAAGCCTGATAAGTCACCTTTACAACGAGGTACAACTTGTAAGGATCGTGCATTCGTGGAATGAGCGGCCCAATTTTTTTTTACAAAATCCCCTGCAATATTCTTCTGTTGGTATTCACTCTCGTTTTGAGCTTCAAGTGCTGGCAGGTGTAGCCAGTCACAGGTGTGTGACTGGCACCTGATTACAGGCAAGATTTGCACAACGGTACCACAGACTCTGATCAGACGGTGAGGAACAGACTGCACATGGCCGGTCTTCGTGCTTATAAGGCTGCCAGGAAGCCTGCAATGACTGCCCTTCACCGTCAGGCCCGTTTGCGCTGGTGTCGACAGCACCGACAGTGGAACCTAAGAATGTGGGGGAACGTCATCTCCCATCTCTCTCACAGGCAAAACAGAATGTGTCATCATTGAAGGCAATCTCAATGCAGTGAGATATCGGAATGAGATTCTGGAGCCAGTGGCGATCCCATATCTCCAGAATCTGGGACCTAACTCCATCCTCCAGGATGACAACGCTCGCCCCCACAGAGCCAGGATCATCACAGAGTACTTCCAGAATTTGGGAGTGGAGAGGATGGAATGGCCTGCCGTGATTCCAGACCTCAAACCAACACTTGTGGGATCAGCGTGGGCGTGCTGTACGTGCCAGAGTGACCAACGCAACCATGTTGCTGACTTGCGACAAATCCTGGTTGAGGAATGGGATGCCAGTGTGTGACCAGGCTGGTGACCAGCATGAGGAGGAGGTGCCAAGCTGTTGTAAAAAGTGTAAAAATGGCCAATATGTGTTGTTTTTTCCTTATTACTGTGGGAGAGTGCAATCATCCAATCCAACAAGCATCTCAAAACGAGAGTGAATACCAACAGAAGAATATTGCAGGGGATTTTGGCAAATTATTTTGGGCCGCTATCCACACGGTTAGCTGTGTTGCTCATTTCACGAATGCACGATCCTTACAAGTTGTACCTCGTTGTAAAGGTGACTAATCAGGCTTTCCAACGATATAGAATACAATACCAATTGGTATTATAAGGGGAGGAATAATCGACCGAAATAACGTTTCCAAACTTTTTTTGAGGAGTTTACATTCCTTAATTTGTTAAATGTTAAAGTAATATGCAATTCAACGACTCAAAGTCAAGTTCAACGACTGAAAACAGAAATATCCAAGTACAGTAAGTGGACATCTAGGTATCATCTCAAAACTTGAAACCTAAAAAGAAAGCCTGATGTACCTTCATATTTGACATATAAACTATTATATATAATACAATAGAATAGAATAATGCTATGCACCCATGTGCTGCTGTTATCACAGAAGTGAGCTTACAGTGTTATATTAGTTTTAAACAGGAGACATATCCCTGATTGAAAGTCTGGGGTTATCCCTCAACGATGAAGATGATGAAGATATTAACCATACTGCTGTCCTGGCAGCACACCGTGTCCTGCTTACCTTTACTTTGTTCACACAGACACAGAGACCCACTAGCCAAAGAGCCTGCAGTTTATTTATAAGCCCAACGGCCATTTCATGAGATGAAGGAGCGGAGATGGAAATCTACAGCGTTCACGCTACAGCGACTCTGACACACACACTCCGTTTCCACTGCAGGCTGTCTGTGGACTGATCTTTTGGAATTGGGACACCAGATAAAGAAATCTAACTAAAAGATGGATTACATTATCATCTGCTACTGTACATACTACATACGGTCTGTACATTCTCTGTAATCTATATGGATTTCTTCAATAAGGATATGTATCAAAAATGCGTTTTCTTAAGTCTGAAGAAAATGAAAGACTTGTAGGGCGGCATATCTCTGCAGCTCCATTCAAAATGTAACCTTTAACATATATATTGTTCTCCCTCGGATTTGAGTATTGCACTTGTTCATAATGGGATTACGATAATGGTTAATGCAGTCCTAAAAGAAAGGTGTTTGGATGACTCACCTGTGACATACATATCGTTTCCGAGGGCTGCTATGCTGTAGCCTCCTCCCAGGTGGTCGGGGAACTCCGCCAGGTACCTCCACTGTCCGGTCTGCGGGTTGTAGCAGTCCACCGTGACCAGCTCGTCACAGTCCTGGTCGCACCCCCCCACCACCACCAGGATCTCTGCGAGCCCCGTGGACGCCCGTGGACGCATCCTGTGGCAGGGCCGGTCGTGGCGGTCGTACTCGCAGGACTGGAAGCTGCGAGCCTCGTTCACCATGCGCAGGCAGGTGGGCGACAGGTAGACCAGCGGGTCGCTCTCCACGTGGGCCAGCAGGAAGAACCTCCGGACGAAGGGCAGGCGGATCTGCTGGAGCAGCTCGGGCCAGTAGTGCAGCCTCCTCTTCATGTCGGCCTTCACCCAGTGCACCGCGATCTGATACACCGCCTCCTCCTTGTTCACGCAAAGCTCATCATCCGACATAAACTCCAGGAGGCGCTTCCAAGGCAACCGCTCAAAGTCCAGCCCTTTGGCCAGCTCCATTATGTTTTTGAGGCCAAAGCGGCGAGCGCTGGTGGCCAGCTCTCTGCAGGCGAACGCCTCGGCAAAGTCCTGGATGTCTAAGCAGTTGGTGACGTCCAGCCGCTGCTCCAGGAACGCACAGCAGGCGTCTTTGACCGAGGGGAACTGAAACAGGTCGGCCGTCTTCAGCAGGACGTCCACGTTATCCTGAGTGACGGTGACCCTCCCCGTGTAGCAGAAGTCCACCAGAAGGCCTAAGAGCTCCGCTGACACCTCGTGAAGAACGACTCGGTCCATAGCGCTCTCCTTCAGAGTTCCTGCGAACATCGCTCTGAAGTAAGTGCTGGCGGCGGCCAACACTGTGCGGTGACAGTGGAACTCGCGGCCCTCAGCACACAAAGTCACATCGAAAAACTTTCGCTCTGCACGGAGTTCATGGATCCCCCGCAGCAGGTTGAAGGCGTGGGACGTGTCGAAAAAAGGAAGGGTGGACGGTTGGGTCTGCAACACTGGCTTCTCCATCGCTCCTCTCTCTGGTGTCTCAGTCTCTGGTGGTTGTGGTCAGAATGATGATTTAATCTAAAAACAGATAAACACCAGATAAGATCGATAAATATGCTGATTGTTTTTGTTAATCAAGAAATGATTCGTCTACGTAATATCAAAACATTTGTGAAAAAAACACATCATTTTCGAAAAGGACGACTTCTCAAATGACTTGTTATTACAACGTCAAAAACCTAAACTTCTTTTATTCGACAACCCTTAAGACCAAGAAAAACAGCAAATCCTCACAATTGAGGAACTGGAAGTCTGGATTTTTGTCATTGTTACTTAAAAATGTACAAAGGATTTAAGGATTATCAAAGCAGTTGACGATTACTTTTCGGACGCTTGACGATTCACTTAACTGTCATATAGTGGCAGCACTTACACCATGTAAGCTGTACAAGTCAAACACAAATGTATACACAGTGGTCTTTAATGGTAAGGGAATAGAGAAATAGTTATTATAATGTTCAACAACTAATCATCAAGTATCAATATAAAAAAACAAAGATCAAAAACAGAGAATTTACATTTCTACAAGCTAATTTCCTTCAGTGGTTACTTTAAGAATGTATACAACCAAACATGTGGTAGGCAACGTAACAGCCTACTGACAGAAACACATTAAGAACTTCTGAATAAATACACCCTAAATCGTGTTATTTCCCCTACCTGATGAGCCCCTCCAGGCACGTTTGGTACACCAGTCTAGAAACTACGACAGCGAAGCTCAGCGCGACTCTGGATCTGAATCTCACCGTGTTTTAGATACAGAGCTCGCTTGTGCTCAGGGGCTATAAATACACCGGCAGTGTCCATTTCCAGGCATGAGTGGGAGGGATTTGGGGAGAACACCTAACATGCTGGGGGCTGAGAGTGTACCCACTGGTATGTCTCTGTGGTCACTAAGTAAGTGAGAGGAGCCAGCTGAGCAACGCAACAAAACAAAAAGCTTCCTGTCACAATATTCTTTCAGGTTACCCAAGAACTCACAGTGGAGAGGAGATGCTCCGACCACAGCTGACAAACACGGTTACAACTGTACTCTGATTCGGCCCCTAGTTTATTTGTTGTTTTGTTGTTTTGTTTGTCTGACTGTTTTTAGTTTACTCCTGTTTTTCTGTAAAGCGAACTTGGGTCCCCTGAAAGCCGCTATATAAATCCAAGTTATTATTATTAAGATAAGGTGTTTAGAACCTGTGAATAACACAACTATTCAAAATAAGTCATATATTTACATTAAAGTGGACCTATCATGCTATATTTGAAACATATATTGTAGGGCCATACCTATATAAAACATGTCTGACGTTTTTTTTCAAAATACCAAACAGATCATGCATTTTAGCCATGCCTCATTTCGCTCTATAGAGAGGCGAAGTCCCGCCCATCTACTTCCGCCCCATAGGACCTTATTTCGGAAAAATTATGTATTGAAGTCAATGGAGAGAGAAAGATTATCTTTCGATCCCGTTTGAATTGTGCCACGAAGAATTACACATATGATGTTTGTCAATCTTAAAAAATAATTTGCATGTCAAAAACATCATAGTTTGTCGTGAAACTGTTGAAATATAAGACTATGAAAAATACGCAACTAGAAAGACTACAAATCCCAGAATCCCGGTCCGCATGCTGGCTCTCACGGAACCGACTAACTCCCCTTGTGTATGTACAGCTCTCAACACGCCCAGACTTGGAGTGATTTTCACCTCTTTTAATACTTTCCGCCTCATTCTGAAAGAAAGAAGTGAAATGTTCCAACGTGACGGCCATCTTGGAGTGTGGTGCGAGACGGGAGATGTAGTTCATTGAGCGGTTCACACAAAACAAAGTGTTACTTCACAGTTTTACGACACTTTTATTTTTTTGACTTGCATAATTATCTTTTAAATTGACAAACATCATATGTGTAATTCGTGGCCCAATTTAAACGGGATCGAAAGATAATCTTTCTCTCTCCATCGACTTCAATACATACTTTTTCTGAAATAAGGTCCCATGGAGCTCCCCCGGAAGGGGAGGGACTTCGCCTCTCTGTTTGCTCTTTTCCAGCCCTGTTTTTGCAGGGGGCTGATTCTGCTTTTGTGGCAGACTACAGCGCCACTTACAGGCCTGGCATATGTACTACAGTGTCTCCAGCGCTTTCGAGCGGTCTCTCATTCCCCTGATAGGTGGAGAGTTGCTCTAATACCTCATTCACACCAACGCAACTCCGGTTCAAGCTCCGTGCTAGAGCTTTTCAGGTTCAGAGCTGGTTCTTCGGTTTAGCTCCGGCTCTTTTCACACCGCCCAGAGTCCGACTGGTGCTGCGTCATTGCGTCATGACGTAACCGTTTGCGTGCCTGCTTCATAAAGCCAAAGCGCGCGGAAACCCCTCACAGCTGACACCGACAACAACAACAATGGCTGATTGTGCTCCAGCTTCCTCTGTACCTCTTCGGAAGACCAGATTCCCAGTAGGTAGCTGGTCTCTTCCGTGGACCACTGCTGCTTGTTAAGTTTCTCCATCGTTGTGTACAAACTGGATAAAACGCCGGCTTTTTGTTGTTGTTCAGGAGTTGATCCCACCCCTGCCCCCGCCTCGACGTAAGCGTGACGTATGTGGTGCTTTTGCTCTGGCCAGACAATTTTTTGGTGCTTGAAATTAACCGGATTCCGGAGCTAAGAGGCTGCTCCGCTGCGGTGTGAACAGGAAAACCCGGTGCTTTTCAAGCTCCAGCTCCGAACCGGCCCTGAAACACCGTTGGTGTGAATGAGGTATTATAGGCGGAGCAGCCCTTTTCTGACGTCAGAAAAATTCAAATAATAATCAGCTCCGTTGCAGCCCCGTTTTTAGAGACTTGGGTACGGAGGAAAAGAGAGAGGGTTGTGTTTTCTGACACTTGGTGAGTTCCCTGACACACCGGGGACACATGTTCATGTATAAAAGACGTACAAAAGTGCATTTTGCATGATAGGTCCCCTTTAAGTTGGCTACATGCTTCTGGGTTGAATTCACACAAGGATGGCTTTTGTGGGAAGCTAAACTTTAAACAATAAGACAAAAACTAACTACGTAATTAGACAATTAAACAATCACTTTTATCAAATGTCAATATCATTATTGTGACGATGTTGTAAGGTTAACCATTGATGCTTTCACATATATCACTACAATTTTTGACAATGTTAAGAAATAATCATAGCTAATATGGATATAATGACTTAGTGGGAATAAGCTAATATTAAAACAACTACAACAGTTCAGATAATGACATTACTTAACTGTTATATAGGGTTAACAACCAGGGAAAGACAACAATCATGCCATATTATGATATCTAGCCTCAGATCACGATATTGATTTAATATCAATGTACTGCCCATCCCTCCAAGTAATTGTCAAAGCACCGAGCAAGATTTAAATGCAACACTATCTGCGCAGCCAAGCAAATAGTGGTTCCTGCCATATTTGCACATATTCAAATCCGGTAAGAGATGTATATTTAAGGCAAAAGACTTGCAAATGAGCCTAAATGCAAAATCTGTCCATACAGATACACAGCACAGCATTTTATGGGGGGAAGTGTTACGTGCCGTGGTGTGTGTGTGTTTATCTCTCTCCCTCTATATTGTCTCCAGGTGCAGCTTCTCCTCAGGTGCTCCCAATCACTAATCAGGGCCTCCATAAAGGACCTGGGAAAAGCTGCAGTATCTCTCTCCCTTCTCCCCGGGCTGGATGTGTGCAGCGTGGTGTCCATGTCTCCAATATATATATATTTGTAGCAAGAGTTGTTTTGCAAGTTGGCTGGTGAGCCGTGTTCCTGATTGATCATTAAACGACTGGATCGTTACTCAGAGATCGGTTTTCTCTCCCTTTTTGTCGTGCTTGGTCATCCTGGTGTGTTGTTACTTCCCTTTGTACCCCCTAGATCTAGAAGGGAACGTAACACACACCATAATGACAAACACACTGACTCACAAGCTGAAAAGAATAGCAGACACACGCTGTCGCAGATGGTAAATATAACATACAGTAGAAGAATCAACAAAAACACTTGAACAAACAAGACCCAAGTTCCCACTGCCTGAGTATCAACCCGCATCAAAGGCTCATCTTGGATTATTATTGGAGATGATCATTCTTTTCCTAAAATACACAGGTATCTCCTTACAGAGATTAGTTTAAAGGTTGTAATAAAGCTCCTGTCCTCTGCCCAAAGAACTCAGCACACATTGCTCACATGGGTTCAACAATGCAGCGGAGTACAGTGCAGATACCGCAGAGGTATCTGCTCTCCTGAAGGGCACACAGGCCTCAGTCACAACCCTGGAAAAACAACTAACTTCTATGTAAGTGATTGCTTTTAACCTACGTGGGAGGGGGTAATGACATTTCCCTACATAGTACCCTTTCATTCAGTCATGTATTCAATGTCTTACTCCCACTGGCCTCTGTAACAAAGACTGAAAGACTGGAGCAATAATTATAACATCTGGTCTCCATCTTCATGTTTAAGCAGTTATCTTTTCCTGCACATTCACACCCAGATGAAGCTTCGCTAAACGCTCCAACAGTCGCAAGTATTGAGCAACTTCCAATCGATGTGTTTACCAGCCAGACACAAGAATAGCGTGCAGAGATTTATGCTCTCGGACGAAGGAGAGAGGGGAGATGAGAGAGAGGGAAATAGTCGAGGTGTGGAAACAATGTCCCTGCTATGAGAGACGAGGACATAGAGATCAGTGTGACAGACAGCATATGACATACACAGCTATAAGGGGAAAAGGGACCCTATGGCCCGTTTCATCTTGACTCTATCAGTATAAGCTGGGCTAAACTCATGACCAGCAGGTATATGTTCAGGACAAAAAGACTCAGGGGAATAAAATGCTGTTAGTCAGAGGACTTTAGTAACATCCTGAAGGGAGGGAGGGGAATGTTATTTTATATTCCCTGAAATGGTTGAAGAGGGGGTCTATTTCTGTATTTTGTAGCCTTTATTTAACCAGGTGAAAATCCCATTGAGATCAACGATCTCTTTTTC